AACACCTTTTAAGCTTAAGCCCTGTTTGGGAGGAATTCTCAAAATTTTACAATAAATCAATTCTCATTTTCAACCACACATTCTTTAATAAAATAATATTTTCCATCACATCAATAATTTTTTCTTCTTTTTCAACCACACGTTTCCCATCATATCACATTCAAAATCAATTCTTCTCTCAAAAATTCCTCCCAAACAAGCACCTAGTCAAAGCCTCCGAGATGCTAAATTCTCTTGCTATTTACAGTTTACTGGTAAAAGTTCTCCACCAATTCCCTCTCTACTAACACTTCTATTATATATATATACAACATTACTTTCCTCTTCTCACTCACAGTTTATTTTTCTACTTCATACGATAAATACCATGAACCCTCCATCTTTTTTCCAATCTATTTTCCTATTTGAAATGTTGCTATTTATGATTTTATTTTCATTTAAATTGACTAACTCAATTTCTCTGACAGACGAAAATTCAAATTCTTCTGTATTTCCAAACTTCTTCCTGTTTGGAACTGCATCCTCTTCATATCAGGTTCATTTCATATCCAATTTTCCAGTGTTATTTAAACTTTCTCATTCAATATTCCTTTTTTATTAATCTTGTTCTCGTGCTCTATTTTCTTCCCCAGTATGAAGGAGCTATCTTGAGTGATGGAAAAGGCCTGAGTAACTGGGATATCTTCACCCATAATAATGGTAAAAATTCACGATTTACGTTCTTCAGATCTCCTTCTGTTACAAATTAATTCAATTCTTTAGCCAGTTTCTGGTGCAGGTACAATCTTGGATGGAAGTAATGGAGATATCGCCGTTGATCAATACCATCTTTATCAGGTACACAATCTTCAGGATTTCATGCATGTATACTGCTTTACCGCTATAAAATCTTTAGGCCGGCGGGTCGGTGGGGAGTGTACACGGTATTATGGCAGTAGTACTTGATGATAATTGATAGGCAAAATCAGGGCGACAGTGCGACTTCTTTTTGTTTCTTGGGTCCACACAATGAAACTAGTGAAATTGCTTGCTGACTAACGACAATGTTCCTAGCCGTAGACTGGCCTACATTCAGCCAGCTGGCACAAATTGAAGTCTGTCGCAAAGTTTGCTTGGGCTGAATTTCACATTACATTTCTCTACCAAACAATAAATTCAAATGGCTCCAACTCATAACCAATATATTCACCTCGATTGCTCCTTAATTTCACCCACAAAATACAAAATAATGGTGATATTTTGTAAACCACAATGATACGAGAAAAACAATGGAAGAAACACGAGATTGAGGCCAAAACACAAAGAAAGCCACCGATTTTTCTCCTTCTAACAAGCTGTCGATTTTCTCTCTCTTGCATACACAAATCACATACAAAACAGCTAGGGCAAAGATACCATATATATAGCTCATATTAGGCTTTAATTAGATCAATAAAAAAGATTAAATGTTTCAAGATTCAAAGCTATCCAGAGGTAATATATATGGGTCATGAGCAATATTAATTGTTTAAAGTTACTTCCAACGGCTCACATTTTCGGGTTGAGTCTTTGAACTTGATTGTTGATAATAATTTAATTCAACATTTACATCATCGCCCAAATTCATTGGGTATCAAAACCCAACAAATCTCCACATTAATACCTAATCAATCTGCAAGCAATCAGAAAACACAAAGTTAACGCTTGCATAATCAAAGCAACCAATAAAATTGGAATCACATACCTTACCTCATGCTTCGGACTCGAAATACCTACCATACCTACTACATGTACTCAATAGGGCTAAGATCACAAACAAATATCCAAGTAGAAGCAGATAATCATATTAATCAATCAAGAGCAAATAAATATACGATAGAGATATCATATATGATAACACAGATCTTTTAAAAAAAGACTCATTCACACAGAACAATAGTTAATCAATCAAGCAGCCAATACGTATGCAACAAATGAATAAATGATCCCACGAAAAGATCTCACCACACTTGTTATATCTCATTCCGTGTAGTTCACACCTCGAAAACTCACCTCATCGCCCACCATACTTACTAGATTGATCACTCAACTCATATTTAACTGGTAGACCTCTATAGATTCTAAGTAATTTGGATAATCCTCTATCACCACATCACTTCTCACAACCTAAATGGATAATGTGTCTCCACCTAACCGAAGTGATAGAAGTGTCTCTCTCACAATCAACTTGATCAGGGTATCTTCACAGATAAAAGATTCAAACGTTTCATCACATCTCCACTCGTGATTCAAATGTCACATCTCCGATACAAACCACCAATGTACCCCTAGACATCTATAGTCAACATCACCAATAAACACTCAACACATTTACTGCTAATGCATCTTAACACACTATGCAGGCAAACAATTACACCAAGTAATTAAATTGCTCTCAAAATTCATGCATATGCACATATTAAATACATTGAAATGCACATATAAGCATGCAACAAAATTAAGCAATTATACACATGAAAAATGATTACACACGAATGCACATATAGTAATTAAGTTTACTCTCAATAAACCTCACAAGTGTCATCACTCGACCCTATAACCACATTCGCATCTCTCATCTTACCCTTCTACTTATCCTTCTTCCTAGAACAATCCTTCACAAAGTGTCTAGATTTACCTAAGTTGTAACACCGCTTACCAGAAAGCTTGTTCCAACATTTGCCCTTCTTCTTAGCACCTTCATCACTCGAGTCATTACTCAAATTACTATTGTCTTGAGCTCTACCCAAATTTATTTTCTTAAACTTCATTCTACTCCTCATCATATGTAAAACACCACTCCTCCTATCATATTTTTCAGTCTTAATCTCCATATCATTAGTCCTAAATGAATCTATGAAAATTTCGAGTGTTAAAGTATTCATAGCATACTTAATTGCATTCTTAACCTTTTTATATGAATCATGCATAGAATTAAGCAAAATAATGACCATATATATTTCAGACACCTTTTCATTGTAGTTAACAATACATTTAACAAGATTGTTGAAAATATTCAAATTGTCATCAAGATATTTTAAATGATCATTTTTAAAATTGAAAAATCTTTCAAACAAGTGCAATTTATTAGAACTAGACTTAAACAAATATAAGTCCTCCAATTTTGGCCAAAGTTCTTTTGTAGATCAAGTTTACCAACTTTTCTGAAAACATTGTCAGATATGTGCAAAATAATTGGAGTGTAAGCAAGTTCATCATATTCTTTTTTTTGTACTTCTATCAAATTTGTAGAAAATTTGTCATCTATGACTTTTAAAATTTTTTGGTGAACCAGAATTCCCTTCATCTTTTGTTGCCAAATTGAAAATTTTCATTTCACATTGAAAATTACAACTTCGAAATGTGAAGACAAAAAAAAAAAAATCCAATTGCACAAATAGAGCACACAAAGTAATTTAAGGTCGTAGTATACACCGTTCTAGATTCTCAGGGTTTCATGAGACTCAAGATCTCAGTATCAAATGAATACGGGACAAGACTAGGTCTAACAGAATAATCAATGCAACACGAATGTATATCAACAAAAATTCAAATTTTCACGTAATGCAGTCTCACAAGGTGACTAAACGACAATTAAAAGCACAAAATTAATTACCAACTTGCAATCAAATTCAACACTTCAAATATGACAAAAAATTTCTAAATTTCTAGTACAAGCAATGTTACCCCACACGGTAACCTCAATCCTAATGTCACCCCACACGATAACGCGCTAATGCCGAAATTTAAACTAAGCTAAGCCAATATACCAGAGAGGACCAATATGAGTTCGTAAATACCGAGAGATGCAAATTTATCACTTTAAGACCACCATTATTCGTCATAAAGTCTCCAACAATCGCAGGAATCAATCAATCACAATCAAATCCCGAACACGTGAAGAACACAATTGTTCATACTTCGCTATATAATCTGAAATAGAAAACTAACAATACTAAAATGTCAAGAAAAAAAGTCAGGAACAAACTGCCTGAAGAGACCTCCACCAAAAGACATTATACGAGCCCTCAGGAATTCTGTGAGCGGTTGTCACTCGCCTCCGCCACGCGCCGTCGCCGATCTCATGCGTCGACCACCTAGGAGTGCCTCCACCTACATGTCACGCAAGTGGTCTCTATTTCACCAAACTCCTTCTGGATCGGTCGGAAATAACGAAAATAACCTCAAATTTTGGACTGTTTTCTAGACAATTTTACGATTTGTTTTTTGCTTCGTTTTAGCCGATTTTCAAGTCGTTTTTTGGTCAATTTTTTAAGCCAAATTTACCATCTTGAAACTCTGATACCAATTGCCGCAGAAGCTTTTTTTAGCTAAATTCACCACCTTCAAAACGACGTTTTCCTGGCTTAATTTCAAGTTACATTTCTCTACCAAACAACCAATCTAAACGGCTACAACCCACAACCAATATATTCACCTCAGTTGCTCATCAATCTCACCCACAAAGGACAAGATAATGGTGATGATTTGTAAGCCAAAAGGCGCAAGAAAAAACAATGAAAGAAACACAAGATGGAGGTCAAAACACAAAGAAAGCCACCGATTTTTCTCCTTCTAACAAGCTGTCGATTTTCTCTCTTGCGTAAACAAATCACAAGCTAGGGCAAAGATACCATATATATAGGCTAGGTTAGGTTAGGTTTTAGTTGGACCAATAAAAGAAGTTAAATGGGTCAAGATTCAAAGGCATCCAAGATGTAATATATATGGGTCATAACCAACATTAATTGTTTAAATTACTTTCAACGCCCACGTTGTTTTCGGGTTGAGTATTTGAATTTGGTTGTTGGTAATAATTTAATCCAACGTTTACATTATCGTCTGTGATTCATTGGGTATCAAAACCCAACAAAGTCAAACAAAAAAGGAAAAAAATAAGAATTTAAAAAATAATACATGCGGCCCATCTGCCCGACTCAGTCCAACCCTCCTTAGGGGCTGAGAAAATGCCTGAGTGTACATCATCGGGCAAGTTCCAAGCCCAGTTGCAGATTGCCCGGCCCGATTGACACCACCAAGCAAGGGCTAAGGTTAATAGGTGAGGATTTTTATTTTCAGTCTCATGTTCCTATATTCAGTCCCTACTCCAACTTGAGCTTGTGATAAATTTGGTACATGCCTCAGAAGTCCAAAGAAACAGGCTCTATGTTGGGTCACATGGCATAAATGCTTAGCATAATTTTCATTTATATAGTCTTCACTCTTCGACACTCTGTGTCACGACCCGTCACAGGTCACCCTAATGGACCCGACACGTGTTATGCGCCGATGATAGATACCAGCTAAGTGCCGAACCCACCATCAAGGCGACTATGACCTGACTAACCTGTAACCTGCTTTATAAAAAAATTTGATAGAGTTTCCCATGTAATATGAACTAAAACCACCTGAATAATAATCAAAATTTTCCAACCAGTACATATAATTTAAAACAGGATACACAACCCCCTCAAAAACCAAACTATTCAAAATTCAATACTGGAAAGTCGACATTTACAATTATTTTACAACAAAAGTTTTCAAATATACTCAAGATACCCAATATGCAGTGAGCCCATGATATGGATGCATGTACTACAATTTAACATCACGGATACAACATAAGTATATCCCAAAAGAAATATGAGCTAAATAGACTAACAAAAGGAGTTATACAGCTAATGATAATGCGTGGCTCAACTCAATGGATCAACAGGCTTCCATGATGCTCAACTCAACTACTATCTGATAAGGAAAAAAGTGATAACATATATTGTAACTCAGTGAGTGGATAGTTCATAAATAAGTATATACATTTCTTCCATTTATGCATATTTTCTGAAAATTCTTACTCCTTTGAAACTTTGAAAAATTCTGAAATCTGATAATACTCTTAAAAACTTTAACATTATTAAATCATAAAATCTTTTGTTCTTCATTCTAAACAGTAGCTATAAAATATAACGACTATAATTAATCTGATATCTACAAAAATCTCTGAAATATTTTGTTGTTCAATACTATAAGTTGAAAACTTTATACTGAGAACTGAATAATCTGGATTCTATAACTGGAGATCAAATAAGCTGTAGAAATACTGAAATATCACACCAAAAAAGATATCCTGAATAACTTTACTGTAATTCTGGTTATAATCTGGCCATACACTATGGAAACACATTCACAATAGTGCAGAGCGGGTAAGATCACCATAATTCTCCATACACTGTGGAAACACATTCACATC